AATGGAAAAGTCGTTCTACCATCTTGTGAGAGAAAATAAAATAAAATTCACACACTGCCTGATATTTTAAGCGAAAAGTGCCGACATTATTAAGAAATGTGCTATCAATTTGGTTCTTTCCATAGACAGACTAATTATCGTGCAGTGGCTCAATATAAGTGTGAATCATACAAAATATGTCAGGTAGAAAATGAAATGTATGTAACACATCTGTGTCTATTTTTAGTGAATTACGAGTAATAGAAAACAAACACTAATGACGTATAAAAATCAGTGATGTAACGTAACTAATTTAATATTTTTTCTTAATTATAATCAAACATTTATATTTAAACAAAAATGTTTACAAAGTACTCCCTTATTGCCCGAGAGACCAACCCCATCGCGGGTAGGACAACGTGTATCGAATTTAATTGTAGTTAAAACCATGTAATTTATCACGCGATTGACAAATTAATTGGTCAACGGAATTGGGGCTCGTTTGTGTATTGTATTCCATAATGGTAAAGTGTTAAATAATTTTAATATTTTATGAACTAAAATTGTTTATGTTTTTCGGCGTGGGCACTACGCGGGCCTTTTAATCAAGCCCATTGTAAATTCGGCCAGACCCACAAAATGGGAAAGCGGGGTGATTCGGGGTGGGGTCTGACGTATCCGCGACGGATTAATTTCCGAAAAATTACTCGGTTTTTCGATCCAAACGGATTTCTTTTCGGGTCCTCAGAATGGTAAGATGCCAGCTTACACCTCGGCCATTCAGCAGTCTCCATCTTCGGGTTACTCGGGCTTTCTTCGTGTCAATTATAAATTCGGCTGGGCCAGGAAACGGCAATTTACTTTTTTGGAGCTTCAAATGGCTCTCCGAGAATGTTCCCGATGCCACTCTCCTGCCTTTTTCTTAAAATTACTATTTAACACTTTGTTCTGTAAGTATTGAAAATGTCTTTTTTTCGAAGTTCACAATGTATCGTCCGAGTGAAGAAGGTCTGCTCCAAGATAATCAAGACGAAAGCTTCCTGGCCTCGCTCTTTGATAAGTAGGGCCAGCGACTTTTACAATGACACGCTGAAGATTCTGCTTCACATAGTTATTTGGCTGTCACTTCTGTCTTCCTATACAGAACGTTTCCACCGATAACGGATCAACAGCTGGTAAATTACTACGTACTACGATAGACCTGTACAGTATATGACATAAAAATAATGTAGCACAATAGTTTTTCTCCAACGACAGTTTACCTTCGTATCTCTGGATCAATTTTCCGGAATTTATGTTTTATAATGATTACGTCAAGGAAACTCTTTTTTTATTCATCTTCATGATAAACAAAGGAGGTAAAAAATTATTTTCATTGCACATAATTATTATCAGTGTAAACGCTGTACGTTGTTTTAGTAACTTATGGTCAGTAGATGCGATTTACACATACGACCAAGCCCGAAAGGAATTAATTTTAAACGAAGTCTAAATAATAATGAATAAATACACAAAATAGATCAGTAAGATGCAAAAAATAAATAGAGCGGTAATAAAAACAAATTGCAAAATTAATAAATAAAATATTCTCTAGCAATGGACAGATAAAATGTATAGCTCCACTAGCCGAAGCGACGGTACTATCGATGGTACGGCTGTATACGTGATGTATTGATGTAAATACAATAATTATATTCTACATTTTTTGGATTATAATTACAAATGTGTACCGTTTTATGGACTATTCGCGTCGAAAGTCGAACACTGCTCGACTGGCTTTAAGCTCGTTTTACGCATTGGCTTTAAGTGACCTCTCAGCCTAAGAAGGGTTTTTTCCTTGCTCATTTTGGACGAGTTACCCACCGAATTTAATTCGGGATCCCCTGAGCGATAGGCTGACATCTAACTGTCTTAGCCATCCGTCCACCCGAAGATTCACCGAATAGTGCAACGCCCCGTGGATCTTCCGCGACTGTATCTTCACGCTAACGTAGAATCTCACGGCGGGAGCCGTTAAAACCGTGGTTAAAGATAGCAAGAATTGTGTGCACATTCGAGCAGCTCTGTCCGTGTCCGCAAAGAGATAAGTTTTGAAATGCTAGCAATTGCGATGTACTGCACGTCGGATTGCACGACCGCTACAGTGACAGACTGAAGCAACCACAGGCCTGTCAGTTACATTAATGCTACATTATGTATTACCCTTGCATATTTTTCTTCTCCGACCCGCGATGTGACTGACAACTTCCACTCCAGATCCTCCATACTCGCAGTTGTTTTCATTTGATCTCACAAACACTCGATGGACCAAGTATCCGGAGATAGAGCGAGCTAAGGAAGTATGACAACGTGACACAGCCATTCGAGGTAAACCCCGTGTGTTGTCAGCATTATTTTGCTAGAAATGGTAATTTGCCCCTCTACCATAAAAGTTAACACACGACAGTGCAGGATTTCCTGAACGTATCTATGTGCCTTCAACATCAAAATTTTTGTTTTTTGGTACTTTACGTCTCTTCCACGCTCTGTAATTCATCTCCTTAAATTCATTTCTGTTGTATCCATGTGTAGTAAGGTTTTACTTGTTTTTCTGAAGGTGCGACATTTGCCACAAACGGAAACATAAAAAAATTCAGCAACGAGTTATGTATCTTTCCTAGCAAAAGAACTTAAAATTGTTTTTGGCGCAACTGTTACGAGATTTTATTAAAAAAAATTTTTGGTTATTAAATTACCGCCGTTTAGATGGTCGTTATTGCAGCTTATATTTGTAATTAATTTGATGGTCACAAGAATTTCGAAAAAGCGTGAAACGGAGCGTGTGCGAACAAAGAGATCGCGAACAAAGGAAACCGTGTCACTAGAGTTGGATTAAAGATAAATCCTTGTTTTCATTGTTTGCCAAATTGTTTTACTCGTCTGTTTATCAAATTATCAGAACGCCAAATAATTACTATTAGTAAAAACGTCTTATATTAAAAAGATTCATACGTTAATTACAAAATCTATATTGATTTGAGTCGATCAAAATGGCGGCATTGCTGGAGTTTAAATCGTTTGTGTTTGCTCAATGTTATTAGAAAACGGCAGCCATAGACATAAAGTTTATTTCAAAAGAAAGTGTTTAGGGGTATTTTGTTTATATTGAATTTCNGCGGCTGTAATACCGCCAGTCCGTCCGTTAAACGATCAGGGCTCAAGCGCTAATTCCCGGGGCTCGACCCCACTTAATAGGTAACACGTCAATTAGTGGTTTCGCATTACCACTCGGACCAACCAAGAACACTTAAGGAGGACATGATAATATTAAGCCGGACGCGCTGACAACTCGAAATTACATTAGGGAATATACACATGACATTCCGTACATATTCATAATTTGGTGATTACATAAACAACGAAAAAGTAATATCTTATATAAAAAGAACAACGCGCTTTGTTAACTAATATCGTAATACATAGACAGGTATATAACACCGTAATACACACACAGGTATATAACATCGTAATACACATACAGGTATATATCATCGATGAATCGAGCGCGAACAAATCATGGTTACCTGACACCCCCGATGATGGGTGCGGAATAACCAACACGTATACCATCGATAAACTACATTGAAAGAACTGTTCACACATAGACATTTCCGACAGACAATTTAAACAAAACGACTAGCGTATACTTGATAATACCGACAATTAGTACTTTTGAGGTAGCCACAAAATATGCTTTGGGTCGTGAGCCTCAATGCACCTTTACCTGAGACAGAGTTTACCCGTATGTTCGATCATTGGATTGAGCTTCGCATATATTCTTATGTAATTTCCCCGTTTTATATTTTTCCTAATTCTCCGCTATCTGTAAAAATAAAATTTATGGTCGCGTTTATCTCTTTGCCGTCCGAAAGAGATCCTTGTCACCTCCGCTTGGCCCGCCGACGGCCCTGAGGTAGGTCTACCGATTCATTTATTCCGCAGACCGTTTGACACCGAATTCACTCCCGCCGCGACGGTCGGGAGGAGTGTCTCCCGCCGATGAGTAAGGGAAGCGGTCGCCGACCTCTTCTCGGGAGGTCACGTGCCTCTCCCCCGCAATCTGTGGCTCCCTTCATTACGCGAAATGGATTTAGGGCCGATCCCCTTTTTGCTTACCCCTGGTGGGAAGGGACTCGAACCGATTTGCAACGAAAACAATATTCCAAAGTGATCAAATATAAATCCTTTTTATTTTATTAGATATTATTAGACAGTAAAGAGAAAGACGAAACAAGTAATTATCGCAACACAATTAAAAAGGCACAAAACAAAAATAAAAATGCCATACAAAAATTTCTTGATTCCGCGAGCGCGTGCAAGCCCCCCTTTTTTTTCCTCTTTATCCAGGGTAGTATTCGACCCGGGTATTGTTGGGATTCTGGCGGCAGCGGAGACCCCTCAGCGCTGCCCCGAGACGGCTCTCCCCTGATACCTGCCCTCTTCCCAGATCGGCGGGGCCCGGCTCCGCATCACTGTCCTCCAGGACTTGTTGCTCTGGGATGCTTTGGAGCTCCGCTGGGAGGGGCTCCCCTACCGGTAGCAATACCTTGGCGGGGTGCCCCCACTCCCTACACGCCTGGGCCCGCCGCAGCGCCTTTAATAAGTCTGATGGCTGGCTATCCGTTTGGGAAGTTTCGCCACTATTCCCGGCTCTGGCCTGAGGACTTGATTGCGCTTCCACCTGGGGACCGGGCAGGGGGCTCTCCTCCCATGCCCACGGGTCTTCCTCCCCATCCCCCACCGGGGCTGTGGACGCCTCATCGGCCCGCTCGGACCTAATGTCCCTTTCGTCCTCGTTCCTTACTTCCGGGGGCGCTGCCTCCTCGGGTCTTCTCCTTCCCCCGACCGGGTGGACCGCCATCGTCACGGGGAGCGCCTGGTCCTGCATCAATCCGGCCACCATCGTGTACGGCAACGCCAGGCAATCCCCGTGTTTGAATGTACTGGGGAGGCTGCCTACCACCCACCGGNGAGTCGCAACGGACGTATTAAATACGACCATCCGGCCGACGATCTTACCCGCGGCTTATTTTAGGGGTGGACCTTATATTACGAGAATCCCGAAAAATCACTCTAGGGTTGAGTTCATAGGTTAATTAATCGTACGGTAACACTCGTCATGTCGTTTCTAATCTAATGGATATTCGACACTTTCAAAAAGCCCAAAAGAAGAAATGCAATGACATCGAAGAAAGAGTTAACCGTGACACGATAACCAGCGCAGTTTTTCAGTTTTTACAAAATTACGGCCGAAACTATTCTTTTGCAGACATAAAAGAACGTTAATAAATAGCCGATGAACAACTTACTTTCGTAATTTATCAGTTGATAAAGTCTGTATTTCTTCTTCAATGGAGACGGCATCTGTTTCACTTTTTCCTTTAATCTGTTCAATGCATTGATGAATCTTCCTCTGGAATTTGTATAAAAATTTTTTTCCGTTTTGTCTTCCCTTTTGTTTAGTCTATCCCACTCCTGCAATTAAAGAAAAATACATAAATATAATCCTCTATATCCTTATAATCCATAAATAACCTTTATATCCTCGTTGTATCTTTTCGATTTTTATCAGTTTCCGTGACATTTCTGTTTTCCCGTCCGATTGTCAACAAATGGCGACGTCGCGTGTCTTTTGTAAGTACGGTTTATGCATATTATCGATGCGTGTACACTAAATTACTCACTTATGTATCGCGCGACCTTGAGATTTCCTTCCGATTAAAAATGTTTCCCTTCCTCTACACTGTATAAAAAAATAATGGCAAGAACTACAATATTCACTACATCGAATCCGCTGCATTAATCGATAAAACGTTTGTTTACGAATTTCGTAGAAAATCAAACTTGGCGCGGGTTTTTCTTACTACAGGTTATTGAGATCTTTAAAAATATACTGACAATTACCCGGACCAGAATAAAATATGTCATTGAAATTTACATCTCTGCTCCCACAGTTTCAATTTGATTTAAATAAATTATCCATATCTATATCTATGTCTATATCTATACTACTATATAAAGATACAACGTATTTTTCGTTTGTGACCACTAATGGTGCAAACTACCGTACCGATCGTTACTAAATTTTAACCGTAGCATCTTAACCATCCCCGGAATGTTTACCACTAATCAAACCTACGGATTTTTTATTAATTAAATAAAACTGCAACGGATTTTTGTCTGTCTATTTATCTCCCCCTTCGCTAGATGGCGACACGCGAATTAGTATTTTCTTCTATAAAGGTACGCGTACCCCCGGTCGAGAACCGCCGGTCTATAAGAAAAGTCTATTATCGAAGTTTACTATTACGTTTGAAGAACCGACATTAAATTATAATTAGTTAATTAGCAAAATCTTCGAGGAATTAAAAAAGTGACGTCGTCAGGCTAGATGCCAGTACGCGTACTTACGGAGGATTTCGAACGGTAATAATGCCGAGAGCCGCGAGAGAACGAATAGGAAGAAAAAGTTCTAGAGCCGTTATGGTTCATAATCGTAGACGATATAAAGTAGTATTTAATACATTAATCTCCTAGAAGCGGACACCGTCACACGTTAGCCACGTTGATAAACTACGCCAAATAAATACTTCCGTTGTGCCATCTACCGTTATAAAATCGCATACTTTGGAAGCGAAATAATTACCAGATTACGCATCTGTACTAACTTACGCGTATCTATAAGTCTATACGAAAATATATAAATAACCACGAAGCGTGCAGTATTTTATAGAAACTTATCATGGCTTTTAAGCGCTGGATCGAATGTCCAATTGGGTGGCAAAAGCGCACGAGATGGATATATCGCTTTTCATTTCTGCACTGTTTAGTTGAGCGGAAACGGATAAATAACGGTTAAATAACCCGTTAGTTTTAAAGTAAACACCAGAAACACTTACCACAAACACCCGACAGTCCTCCTCCGACCATTCGCCGCTACGTTTATGACAGACGGAAACTTTAAATATTCTGTTTTTTTCGTCGTCCCACTTGAGAAGTTTCCCAAATCTTCCACTTTGTAGCGACGGTATAATAAAATCTTCTATTAGATACACCATCTCCTACCAATGCATTAAATTTCTGTTACACNCTCTCCCAACCGGATCTCGTAACGAAATCGCTTTACGTCTTCCTTTTTCCCCAACGATCGGAGAAGAAAATAAACCATCGTGTGAGTCTGGCCCTCCTTCCTCTCCTCCTTGACTACCTGGGCCAAAAACTGACAGTGCCCCGAGGCTAGACAAGCCACCCAGGAACTCCGCCGGGGCCGCTGCCACCCCAAAAGAAACATTTTTAGGAACGAAAAAACTCCCTCTCCAATTTCTGGGTGCATCCCAGCCAAATGGCCGGGAATTGCTGCTCGGGGGCCCTGCCACCAGCAAGCCGGGTCCAACACCGGACAGGGACAGGACCGGAAAGCGCAGTGCTTCTCGTGGGCCCGCGTGTCCCCTGGGGAAAGGAACTCCCTACACCCCTGTTGGTGATAACGGCAGGGATGGGCCAACACCCCCACCATCTGCTCCAGGGCAAGGCACCTGCCCCCATTAAGCAGGCCCCTGCACGTCGGGCACCGCTCCACCCTGCCACTACACCTAGGGCACACGATGTGTCCATTGACACACAAGGAGATGGGCGGAGTCGCCCTCTCCCAACAGACTGGGCAGTCTAACAACCCGGCCAGGGCGATGGCCATCTCACCCAGGTCCACTTGTCGGGTCGCCGCCTCTGGTCCATTCCGTTCCTGCTTCCTTCGCTGGGCCATCGTTCCTCTCACTAAAAACAAATGAAGAAAAATTGAAGTCTGTCGATATTTCCAACGCGGTTTCCGTACTCGCGGCATTTTTCGACCCCGAGTTTTCAATAAAGAGGACCCGCCCGTTTCGCGAGCTTCCCGTTTCCTCTTACCAGGTTTCCAATATGTCTCGGCGATGCTCAATCCTTACATCCTTTGATCGTTAAATTATACAGAAGACTCACCCCGACACGTGACCTATTCCGTTCGGTTCACATGTTGACTACATTGGANTATGCCCACCTATTTACGCGAGCATCAAATATTCCTCATAAAATTCCTCTCGAGAGGCACCCCACTTGGCAGATTGCCCACGCATCGCGTTGTCTTATTCCATCGATTGATCACATTTTTCCAAGTTGAAATTTCTTTACCGCAAAAAATTGTTTGCAAAATTAAGTGCTAGATACCTATTATCTTATGTTCTTAGAATAAATGGATGCAATTCGCATAGTTTGTACGTCCTCATTAAAAAAATGTGCTTAGAAATAACGCGGAGTACATTAGTATCGGAAAGAATTTACCAGATACCGGATTTAATCAGGAGAATCACTTTAAAATAATCTACGAACACTGCACATAGAATATTTATGAGCGTACTTATACGACTGGCAACGTAATCGATAAAACTATATGTAGGCAATTAATAACTTTTAATAGCTATTTTCGAATAAAAACACCTGCAAAATACGTAAACATAGAAGATAAAAGCCATCTTAATGCTTAAATAAAAATACGTAAAGTCTTGAACCATTTTCTTTGTTAAGTACTGTGTAGCTTCTGTAAAACAATTAGTATTATACGGCAGAATATCAATCATGCATCAGACTCCACGGAAGCAAGTTTGCTTGAGTTGCATGGTAAGGCCATTTTGGGCCACTATACTCGTTTTTGGTTTGGAACTGTACACACCCTGTAACTGCAGAAACGATAACTTTTTCGTTTTGAACAATCCGAAATACAGAATTGTTTACATTCGATTTGTAGAAATCCTTTTCTGGATGCACGCATTTCTTAAGTTATGGCAAGCCATTCCAATTGTAGGGGATAATGCAATTTGCAACGGTTGGTACGATATATTGGAAGGTAACACCAGACCATCGAAAATTGCAGTTTCAATTATGTTCCTGGTATACGCTTCCGTCTTCAGCTTCGTCAAAACAGCAAAAATTAACCTAAAGGAAAATCTGAGCAGCGAATATTTCTGCGTAAAATCCGTAAACCAAAGAAATATTTTAATAGAGAACGTCAACGTTGTCGCGTGTTCAGTTGTTTTCGGCATCTCGATTATTTTTCAAATTATTAATGCCATCTTCTTATATCCGTCACTAGAAAAGGCCCAGCAATTCCAAGGAGAAGCTCTCTTTTGTAGCGTTGAAGTCGGACTAGCGGTAAATCTCTTTTGTGGTGGAATCGCTTACGGCTTCATATCGGGAGCTTTGCTATTGTTTATTGCAAAGAAAGAATTCGAACAACTTCTGCAAGAATTGTCCTCCATAAGAAGAGAAGACCTCCATTTGAAAGCGGAACTGAATGATTTCATGATGAAAGATGAAAAATTATGGCGATTTGTAAAGCAATTAAACTCCAAACTGGATTATCCATTATCCATGACATATTTTGGTCTTACTTCGGCAACCAGTCTTTTTTATTACTTGTTCTTCTTTGTAAATGTCAACGAATATATAAAAATGGCGCTGTTTGGATTGGTTGTGGGTGCCACTTTCGCGTGTGTATTGGGAGGATGCGTGTTGTGCACTTTTGCATTTACAGTAAAATTTACAAATACAATTTATTAGTTAATTTATTAGTTCTTTTGTTCCTTTCTTACGATTAAATATCTATTCCAGATGCACAATGCTTTTCAAGACATCCGACAATTCGTTCAAAGTAATTTAGAGTTACCACAGAAGCTGAAAGTGAGTCTTGATCTCAGTTAAAATTCTAGAAATATAAAACTATAATAATGAATACGTTTTCTTTCTAGATTCTTAATTTCATGAAAAGATTTGGTAAAGTCCCATTGGGTCTGACTATAGGAGGTTTCTTTCCAGTCGATAAAAAAATTCCCTTAAAGGTACTGTTTTCTTGAATAAGAGCCAATAGGGAGGGTTATACAGTAAATTTTAGTTCTTTGGAAAATTATTAACTTTAGAGGATATTAATGACCCGCCAGTGGTCAAGTGGATAAAACTACTGAACTATGGTGGTCCAGCCACACCAACAGGAGCAACGTAGAGTTTTCTAGGTGTAATGTCTAAACGAGAGCCATTTTCCTATAGAAAGTCCTGTCGGGGAGCATCCCTCTTAGCAGTTCGCCCACATGTTGTGTTGTCACATCCCATCGATCCGAAGCAAACCAGAAATTTTAATCAATGATTCCATAAAAAGCGAAATGAAATTATTCTTGAAGAGTGGATTGTATTGATGAGATTAGGCATAGAAACTTCACCAAAAAAGGCCTCCCGGGAGGTCTTTCTACGGAAAAAGGTCCCTCTTTAGGTGTTAGACGCGTGAAGAAAACCAGAAAATTCCACGACGCCGAACCCAATCCACGACCCAATATCAGTGTTTAGTGGTTTTATCCACTCGGTCACTGGTGCGAACCGTTTAAGAATGAGTTTTCTTTATTTTTCTCCTTCGTTTTAATTATTATACCTTTAAATTTCTTCAAATAATCAATAAATATTGAAGAAAATTTTTTAAATTTCAGATGGCGAGTACTTTGCATACGATGTTTTCTACCCTTTTGAAATTAAAAAACGTTTTGTAAAATGTGAAGCCATTTTTTAGTTGTTATTAAAGACTTTTGTTGATTTTGATGAACCGACCAATTGTTTATAAGCTGCATAGAAAATTAAAACTGAAATACAGTAGTTGATTGTTGGTCAGATGCACAAACTCGGCCCAAATCTCATATTCTATGGTGGACAAAAGGAATGGGTACATCGTTCCCCTTTGTTTAATCCGTGTAGTGATCCCAAGTCAGGCCTGATCTGTAACGGGGTAAACCCAGAAAACCTTAAAAGTACTGCAGAGAAGAGCCTTAAAGACGAGGCATTGGAAGGTATTACTTAACTATATTAATCAGCAAAGATCAAGTAATATTGGAATTGTTCATTAGCTTCGAACTATGACGTGTGAAAGCTATGGCACGGTGAAAGTATGGATTCCAGTTGTAACAAGTGTAAAATTTCTACCACTCGACCATCACGTGTACTAAAAATTATGGCATCCAACAGGCACGCGGTACTTTATAAACTTTATACAGTAAAGTCGTCCGCACACTGTCTGTTACTCGAGTCCGATACTCCACACACTTTGTAACATCATTAATAATAGTTAACGAATTATACAATTCACAGAAAGCGAGTACAACAAAAGGAAACTTAACAACTTAACAAACCAAATGTGCACACTAGACAGTAGATTGTACCGTACAACTCTGGGGTCATGTAAGTAACGTATCGCCATCTGTTGTTTGAAATATATACTAGGTTGGCTGGATGTTTTCTCATCTTCTCTCTTGTAATATCTTCAGTGGTGGGTAGTGCGAAGCACATCTGCCTAAATGACTTATTTTGATACAAAATACGCACCTTTTACTCCGAATTTATTTCGATTTTAAATTAATAATTGCCCGTTAAATGTGTGGCAACAAGCTTCTGGGGTGTGGCGACACCGCTAGAAGCTTCTTGCGCCATTCTGGGATCTTCCGAAAGCCTTTGATATGTTTACAACAAAACTAAAACTGTGAATATTTACTATACACCTTTATCCCGGGCGAAAACCTTCCATTAATAAATAATGAACGGAACTTAAATTATCACAAAATGTCAAGGTCGTGTGACGCAAGTACAGTACCTCCACTCGCCGTAAATTGTAATTGATACTCACGAATAATACGCCATACACTTTTATTTGGGTTTCACCTCTCTAAGTCTGTGAAATTCCACCTCGAAACCTCGGTTTTTAGGGGTAGGGATCACTCGTCTGGCCACAAAGAGTTTCCAAGACGGGAGAAGAGGTCAAATTTCCAAAATATTAAGCTACTTGGTTCATTAAGTTTCCTTTTGTTGTACTTGGTTTCTACCAATTGTATAATTTATTAACTATTATTAATGGTGTTACAAAGTGTGTGGAGTATTGGTAAGACGTTGCGATGCCTTTCCAACCGCGGGTGACAAGCGAGATGTAAATTGTGTTTGTTGACGGGGGCTTGAATTAGAACGTGCAAAACCTACAATAATTAACATCCGTACATTCAAAAAAACGTAAACTTTTTTTTGCATTTACCAAAGTATAGACGTTTCAAGGTCTCCGGAGTCCAAAAAATGTAAAATTTTCTTGACCGATCTCCATACTTTCCCTCCGTTATAGGAACTTTCACCGCAACACTTTTACTTTCTCTGGAAAGTAGAAGTGCAGCAGTGAAAGTTTCCGCAATCACTAAATCGGCAATACAAGTAAATAATCATAGAAAATAGACGAATAACAAGCGTATATGATGACTGGAACCAAAAAAAATATAGGGGAAATAATTACTACTTTCAGTAATTTCTAATAATTTTCCCATCTTCTGTACACGAGACTGGGAAATAATTACTAGATTCAATGTAAAATTACCCGAAATAATGGAAATACAGTGTAAGATTAAGAAAATGTAAAATAAATATGTATACAAAGAGTAAACACACTGACAAGATCCGTTAGTTTCCGTAGAAAATTTCTACACGCAATCTATTAGGCCGATATGTTTGTCTTTTTATGTCATACTCTTATACAAAAAACCAAATTTCAGTAACATTTTATTGGCTTTTTATAAGCATACAAAACAGAATCGTTGGTAAAATTATTAATTGATTAAAACTTCCATTGCAATTTTAATCATTTAGTAATTTTATAGCAATTTACGTACCATTTTCACACGTTTAACAATTAACATCATTTACATATTTAACATTTATTCG